TATATTCTTTGGCGCAGATGGTCTTATTGTAGGACATCTTTCTCTTTTCTTTGTTCAATGAAATCTTGTAAAATAAAACCACCCTTTACAGGTTAGAGCAAATGATATTAATGATGCTTTAGAGGAAGGATATGACAGCTCAAGGGATGAAGTATCCCCCGTTTCCTCATACAACCCTGTGAAAGATAATCTGCACAGAAGCTTTGGAAGTTCATTATCATTGCGTTCTTCATCAGCAAGATATTTAAGCAGGGATCCTTTGGAAGGTTCTCGGATGAGTTTATCTTCACACATGGCACTTCCCTGACTCTCTGTGGTCGAGGTTTTACATGATTCTGCTGCTGGTGATCTACATAAGTACCAGCAAATCAGTTTTAATGAAACTTGTTCTTTTTCTTGGAATAGGCTTAGTCCTGAAACTCACTGAAACTATCTTGTTTCTTAGTAGCCTTGATGAGAAGGTTTGCTTTGCCAAATAACAATTTATTGTTGAAATAGATGTCTTATCACCTCAGAAGTCATTGTCAATTGTCTCCTCAAGTCACCAACAGAAGTTCAGAAATCCTTTTTCTGCTGAAGAAGATGCAGGAGTTGCCTCTTCACCGGAAGCTGCAGCCATTAGCTCTGCTTCATGTAAATTCTTTGCATTTGTTTTTGTTTTCCAGTAATATTTTGTATGTTCGAGCGCCTTATTAGACCCAGCATGGTGTTTTGAACTAGATCATTCATGATTTGAGACGTGTGGTTCGTCACCAATTGAAATTTCAAATATCATATTCCATCTGCGAATCATGGAATCGCTGTAATGGTTGTAGAATTAAGTCCTATTTCAGCGATCTATGAAGAAAATACATTTCACTCTGGTTTTGCACCATATGAGTGTGAGATTTACTGATTTCCTTAATTTTTTTTTCAAATTTTAATGTAAAATAATTAGCATGCCACATCCTATGGTTTTGATTTTATTCACTTTGCCGCCTCTTTATTTAAAAGTTGATATTCTCCAAACTGATATTTTCTCCATTAGCAGTGTATTGCTGTGTAATCATAATATCATAAAGGACGGAGTTAGGCCCTGTAAGTTAGTTAGATAAGGAGAAATGTGACTGTTAGTTGGAATAGTGAGGCACAGGAGTTAGGGATTATGAAGTGGATGCGGGAGAAATTTGGGGATGGGGATAGAATTTTGGGAGTTTGGACTTTAATTAGGAAGGGGTTGAGGACGTTGAGATGAAATTGTGATAAATTGACTTGGATTTTCTGTTTGATATTTAAATGAATTAACGAACAACTCAGTGTCATGCTAATAAATCAAAGTTTAGGATGGCTGAATGTCAACTTTTGAACAACGTAACAGCTAGAATATTATAATTTACCCCTTCTTTTCAGAGGAGAAAACTCAGGTTTAGGTTGTATCGCATTTTTTTTAATCTTCTTGCATTGATTTCAGAGGTCACCTCGCTTTTTTTTTTTTTTTTTTCCAAAGAACTTTAGATGAATGCTCAGCAGTGAATTTTATTTTTTAAAATCACGTGACAATTTGTGTTAATTAATAGCTTGGACATTTGGGTGTATGGCTACAATCAAACGACTTCACATGGTATGAAACATCTGTCATTAGTGTCCTTCATTAATGTTTGCCACTTTTGCTTGACTTAATTTGCGTGTCAGAATACTTTTACATCTTAAAAATAGATTATCCCTGTTTTAAAATGTAAGCCTTCTGCTTCGAGATGCAACAACTGTCTGGTTACCTAATTTTTTGCAAACATTTTCTGCAGCAGAAGGCTTCATTAGAGGAAGGTTATATAACATCAGGCTGGACGACCAAGTTCTGCTTAAATTTTCCCCAAAAAATTCCGAATCCAATTATTACTTCAGTGACATGGTAATGAAAATCATGTATGGTTTATATCAATTTTGTTGAAGCAAACGTTATAATAACCAATCCTGGACAATTTCATGTTACAGATAGGTGGGACTCTAGCTTTCTTTCATGAAGAGAGAGCTAGGAGATGCCTTGAGGTTTGTCTACAAACTGTGGAGCTTTAAGCTGACTATGTTGTGGTTGATGCTTGAGATTTTTCAAACACTATTCTATATGCTTATGCAGGTCTCAATAACACTGGAAACTTCCGAAACTATAAATCGGAGATTTGTCCACCCTTCTAGAAAGCATTCCCCCACAATCACAAAGGTATTTACTTTTTGGCATACGGAGTGCTACCAGCTTTAATTTAGTTGATGAACTGCACATTTTTAGTTTCTCATGCTTGATGCGACTTCTTTTCTGTGGTGTTGAATAACGCAATAGTCTTGAGGATTTCATTATTTTCTTGGAGGAAGGCCAGATTTTGTAGACAGCACCTTTTTTTTTTTTTGTAGTTTGTTTAAGAATAATTGTCATTGTTTTGAAGCCTCTTCATGTTGCCTTAGCTGAAAGGTTCGTTCATGTAGTAGGGGGTTTTCTGCTTTTCCCCACTTCGTGGTGAAAGTTCATCTAATGTCTTTGTTGCCTTTGCAATAGAAACGTTAATTTAGTAGTTTATTTTTCTTCTTCTTGTTTTCTTCTTGCATTTTTCCCCCTTAAAAATGAAATTTCATTTAGTGTCCTGTGTCAAGTCTATGTGCGCAGATGCTAATGATGTGGCTTCTGATACATTTGTTCTCACTTGTTTTTCTTAGGTCCAGAGTGACCATTATGAAGTTGTAGCAGATCGGGTGCAGACACGTTTCTTTTCTCTATCCCCATGGATGGTCCAATGTCGTTCTCCACTCCACGTGTGTCAGTGCAATGGGTTCTTAGATTTGAATTTTATGCCACTCCAAAGAATTTGGATTGGACCAAGTATGAATTTCGACCTTGCCTTTTTTTTTTTTTTTTTTTTTGGTTAAGCCCTAAAACACAATTTTCCATTCCTTTATGCATCTAGTGCTTATATATTTGGCATCTTCTGTTCTTGGAACTGGTTTTTACGTGCACTTTTCTCCACGGCTGGATCCATTTTTATCAGTCAGTCTAGGTGTTGTGTTCATGTGATGTTGAACCATCAATTTTCACATCTTTATGTAATGTTGAGCCTTAACGTATTAGATTGTAGTTGGCATTACGCCCGGCACCCTTGTGATAAGGGCTCCTGGTGCCAGCGCATGCCGACTTTGTCAGCGCAATATTCATTGGAAACAATAGAAAGACATATCCCACACACAACGATTTAAACTGCTACTAAAACTCGACCATTTTCTCTGTGTGTGTGTGTGTGTGTAGAATACGAATAATAAGGGATGAAATATAAGAAAGTCAGAGTTCTTTGTTTTTTTTGGGGGGGGGGTGTGGTGGGTGTTGTGACAAAGGGCTGGCTGAATGAATGGAGCAAAATAGTTGTGAACCCTATAAAAATACCGAGAAACACCCAAGTTCATACTGTCGCAATTTTACTTGGTTTGACTGTGTCAAACAAAGATGTTAACACTGCAACTGCAGAATTAGCCAGCTATCTATGGCAGTTGACAACAAACGTTTGTTTGCACAAGACAGAAGGCTGCCCTTAAACCCCAACAATTAACTATGTGATGATAGGTAACATATGATTATATATATTGCTATCATGATGCATGGCCAGGAAAACACAGAAGCCTGCCCTTTCGTCTGTTTCGATATCTCATGGAATGAAATAAGAGGGTTTAATAGCATTCTTAGTTTTAAAGCACTTTGAACTTTTGAATTAGCCATTGATTGTATTTTAAGCCATATGGTTTCTGAACCTCAGGTATGAACCTCCTCTTCTGATTGAGGGAAGAGAAAAATGTGAATGGGTTCTTCCGATTACAGGACTTCTGGGACAAGAAGTGAGAAACCTGTCTCTCTGGATCCCCTGTGGGTGCATAATTAAAGGTGTAAACAAATGTTTGATTCACTCTGAGCTGTGTGCAGTTGGTGCTGAAATTCAGGATTACAAGACTACAATATTTTTATTTTCTGTTCTATTTCTAATTTGCCTTTTGTAGTTGGATGATTGTTATGATTCCATTGGTACTTGATTTTGATTATATTGTGAATCAAGTTTTCCATTGAATTTTGTGGATTTTCTATTGGCCATCAAATTTGATGGATATGATATGGTCCCAACTCATTTATTTTGCTTTATACTTGGATCAAGGCTGAACACGGTGGACATGGATAAAAAAAACTAGAATTCCAGCTAAAGCTTTCTAAGTGTTGTCTCTGTTTTTTTTTTTTTAATTAATTGTTTAATACAATTAAACATAGATGCATATACAAATATGTCAACGCTAAACTTGAGTGCAGGAACTCATCTAAGTATGGGGAGTGGTGTTGTGACTAGGGCAGCTAACCTTTAACCTTCTTTATTTGAATCTGATTCAAGAAAAGTTGGAGCAAATATACAATAGTAACTATTTACCAAAAAAGAAAAGACGCAATAGTAAGCAGACTAATAAATCCAGCAAAACAATTTTTTTCGTCAAGTGTTTGGTACCGTAACTCAAATGATGGATATTATAATTTTCTCTTCTATCATTTCAACTTGATCGTTTTCATCACATAATTTGTCATAAAATTTGCAAAATAAGTTTTTCTTTTTATCGAGTTTTGTTATCATCATAACGTGATTGAACAAAAAGAAACTCTGTCTATTTTTTCTCAATTGTTTTCCGCCTTATTTCATTTGTTCCTCTCAATTTTAATAACCGCTTTACTGAAATGCGGAATATTTAATTGAAAAGAAGAAACAACGGTACTTTATTCTCCAACTTGCTGACAAATGTTAAAACAAGATATTTTATTCATACACATAAAATTAATTACATGAACTAGTTGACATATAATACATAAATCACACCCAAGAATCACGTAATTTTAGATCAACATCATGATACTAAAAGCACGGGCAACAATGGCGATTGACATTTGTGACTGGATCTTGGAAAGTTTTGGCTGCAACCTCATCATTGATACCCCTTTGCAAATGCTAGCTTCATCATTTGATTTGATTTTTGGCATCATCTTGATCGACTAGGCTGACATTGCCGACAAAATCGCTGTACCAAGGATCAGACCATCCATAGGCTAAAACAACATGGATCCTAACAACTAAGCCTACGATTTGACGAAACACGGGACAGCGACATGGAAGTGGAAACCATCTCAGAATAAAATAAAACATAATTGCGTAAATGAAGGTGAATCCAATGGTACTCATATTGTCCGCAACTTCAGTGTTATTGCTCACGATCAAGCGTGTAGCACAGAGAAACGCAACGCCCATTGTTAGAAGGGCCACAAAAACTAATGCCACAGCATGCGCACATGCTTGTGTCGCCGCACGAAGATCTCCAAGTCGGACCCACAGAAGAATGATCGAAGCAAGAATGGAGCTATACATAGCAATAGTGTTACAAGTCATAAATTTATTGAATAGGGCTTGATCGGCCAAAAGTGCCATACCCCTTTGTCCTGGGGTTGGGCCATCCGATGAGTAAAACCCACCCGGTATTGTGAAACCAGCTGCAAAAGTCACTGTGGCTATGAGTGTGGCCATAAGTATGAGTGTGTTTGCTAGATCCGTCACATTCCATTCTTTATTGATGGATCTTGTGAGTGGCACGCTCAGCATATTTGCCTTCAGGTTCCCACCAGCGTTATATAAAATTCCATTTGCTAGAATCTGCAAGGTAGTCAAATCAAACTGGCTTACATGTTATATTCTATTATTAAGAAAAAAAAGTGTTTGGAATCAAAAGCTTTTAGAAAGCTAATAAAAAGAAGAGATAGATGCTTGTCAATCTTACCTCTCGAGTTGTTAGTGGAATTCTACATTGCATCAAAATAACATCTCGAGCTGTTAAACCTTTGTTATTGACTAGGTTCATGTTGATCCTTTTGTGTTCTGACAGAAGGAGTAAAGTCCAAAGACGCAATTCTCTTGAAGCCAAATGCAAGGGAGTATCTCCATTTACATCTCTCAAATTGATAGCGTCATGATGAATCTTGGGGTGCTTCAGTAGATATTTTATCACTTGAAGATTTCCCTTCATTGCTGCAATGTGAAGAATGTTCCGACCTTTATTATTCAACCAAATTCCAGCATTAGACCACTCTATTTTGAGCAACTTTTCGACCACTTTAACATTGGCCTTTTCGCAGGCGAGGTGAATTGGAAGGTTGCCATCTGAGTTTCGTTGAAAAGCAATCATGGGAGAAGTTTCTAACATTATAGAAACTCCTTCCATGTAACCAGAGTATGCTGCATAATGAAGGGGAGTGTTGTTGTTCTCATCTCTTTGATACAGTAGCTCTTTTTTCGTATCAACAATCTTTTTCAATAGATCTTCACACATAAAACAAAATATATTAGGGAAAAGTGAAACAAACATGAACCTAATTATTTTAGGAGTATGCTTACATTTAGTTCGTTCTGATATTGCAGCATGAAGTGGAGAGTCCCCATTTGACATGGCTTTGCCTGAGGGGATTGGAATTAACCTCAAGAGAAGATAGAGAATACCCTTGTCCCTTATCAGAACTGCTAAATACATTGGCGATTTACAGCTAAAATCGTAGTTCCAGGTCCAGTAGGCGGGTAGATCACTTCGCCTATGTGCACCTAAAAGGAAAAGAACCACAGAATAATCCTTGCTCAAAACAGCTTCGTGCAAAGCTGTCCTCCCATAATTGTTGCGTAACATTATAAACTCCACTTTGTCCATAGATTCAGCCTCCTTTTCAGATGTCGTGAAATGCTTATCCATGTCGAGAATGTTCTTAATCGCGACAAGATTCTTGGCTCTGGCAGCAACATGAAGCGGAGTATCACCTTTCATATTTGTCCTGTACAAAAGCTTAGGATAGTGAAAAGCAATAAGACATAAAACTTGTTCACTCCCATGTTCAGCTGCAACATGAAGCAACGAGTCACCTGTGGGAGTGACATGATTGAAAAGGGTGGCCAAGGCAACATGATTTTCTTCACACGCTTGCTCCAGTAGATTTACAAACCTATCTGCATCTGCGTTTTTATCACAAGCCGCCTCGTGCAACTCATAATGCATGATATGTACCATATTGTCAAAAAATGGCATATCATCAACCGATGAACTGAATTGCTTTTTCATCAGTTCACGCATCTTTTCATTGCCACAAGTTTGTACATCATCAACTAATGAACTGCCCAGCTTATTCATCAGATTAGGCATCCTGTTGCGGCCAAGAAATGCCATATCACCACGTAATTGCCTTTCCATTAGCTCACTCGTAACTTTGCTGCTAAATGCGCTGGACTGCTGATTTGTTGCAGCCACATCTAACCTTATTTCAGCAGAGCCCGAATCGGCCATTGCAACTAGCTAGCACTTCAATCAAAGGCAATCCAAAAGATAAATCTCGTAGTTGATCACCCGATTCAACTTAACTTCAGCGTTAGGGAATCCTTTGCGCTTTATATACATTAAACAATTCAAGTGAATGCAACTATACAACTTTCAGCTTATTCACTCAAAACGTCGAAGACACTATTGTCTTAATTTCTCAAATCCGATATAGGAATATTCGTCGAAACTTCAGTCCCCACACCTCCCCTTCGGTCACCAATACCCACATGAAAGTTGCATTCATTGAGGGCCTGTTTGGTCCAAGGAAAATGGAAAAGGAAGAAGAAAGAAAATTTTAATGAGCTCATTAAAAGCTTTTAATTAAATTTTTTCCTTTTATCCTACATCTTCTCTTTATCAAAATTTCAGAGCTTCATTTTTTTAATTTTTTAAATTCAGCTCATTCAAATTTTTCTTTTCACTCCAATTTTTTTTGTACCGAAAATATTGGGTGATAGACGACTCGACCCACCCTTCGGGCCAGCGACCTGAAAGGTGCATTCACCGAGTCAATGGCTGGACACTTACCTGCCAACGCTCAGTCCATAAATGGAACGCGTGTGCTCTAATTTGTTTTGACCGGATGAAAGTGTTGTTTCTTTCTTTCTTTTCTTGTCCTCCGGGCCAAGAATTATGAGAGGATGAATGAGTAGTTGGCTTTTTTTGGACGGCCATTAGACCATTATCCATAAATCTTGACCCACGCAATCCTTGTCCTTAGTTCTATTGGTCAAGAGTGTGCTTCTTGGCCACGATTTACCCGTCATTCCCCCTTTAATATTGGCTTCATATTATTTTGGACACGTTCCAGCGTCTTACTCAATGCACAAGAAAAAATCTATTGCTCCCTCCGTTCAACTTTTACAACCTTTCACTAAGTCACATAAATAAAAAAGTTCGCCAAATTAATTAAAAATAATAAATATGTAAAAATTAAAAATTTTTCCCATAAAATAACATTATTTATTAAGAAGAGAGTATAAAAAAGAGAATAAAAAATTATTATAATAAAAAGAATTATAAAAGAGAGAATGTGTGATGGAGAGAGATTATATTAAAATAAACCCTTCAAAACGTTTATTATCCAGAAAATATATTTTGGAAAATAAAAAATAAATGTAAATAAGTCTTTAATGAAGACAAATAGGAATTTGTTATAAAAATTTTTAAAATAATTTGCAAATATTACATATATTTAAAAACTAAAAATGAATGGTGGTTGTTGCTTATATGGAAAGAAGACAAGATTACAACACTCGACCTTTCTTGAAAAATAAGGATTAAACATGTAATTAAGGTTGGATTAAGGATTAAACATGCAATTAAGGTTGGATCAAGGGTCAAATAAAAATATAAAATACTACCTCAGATTTTTAATATAAAATCTAGTTACTTTATTGGAGGAGATTATGAAAGTTAATAAATTATCTTAAAGTATTTATATTTATTGTTTTTCTAAACTAATTTGTCACTCTTGTTAATTGATATATAATTTAATGGTACACGAAAGTAATTCAGAGATATAATATAATATATACTATAATTAAATAATTTTTTAATTTTTTTAATTTTCTTAAATTAATCAAGTGGGTCTTATATTAAGGACTAATAGATAATAGTAAACAAACTTACATACTATCGGATTGCATCCACCGCGAGGTAGCCAAAGCGTGATTTTCAAAAATTATAAGGAAGGGTAATTTTAAAAAATATGCATAACATTTTAGAAAAATCCCCATAGACTAAGAAAAACAGAGGCTAATGGCTCCGACCAAATAAATGAGAAAAATTACCTCAAAAATTTTTTAAATAATTATTAGAATTTTGGTTAATTAAAGAATAGTTAGTCAAACTCAATTACAAAAAATATAAGGAGGATTCAAAAAATAAAATAAGATATTTAAGGATCAAATTTCAGATTTAAAAAAAAGTATTATTTAATATCTTGTTTTGTTACTACCTCTGCACACTATTTTATGAAAGCCTTTTTTCTTAACGATATCGTGGGAGTTTGATAGTTTCTTTCAAACTTTTGTTTTGAGACCTTTGCATCATCCCATGAAAGAGCGTTAATCTTTTAGTTTCAAATGCTCATGACCTTCACCACCGAACCGTGGTAGGGGTGGGGTGCATGCGTACGGATTCGATCCCATCTCTTGTAACCGGAAAAAAAAAAAAAAAAAGCTCATGACCTTCGGCAATATTAATTTATGATTTTAGATTGATTAATGCCAAAATAGTAATAATAGGATGAGGCTGTTTGATGTGGATAGAAATTAAGGATGATGACGACCTAGTCGCAACACCCACAGACCCCGTCATCCCCACGTATCTCGTTGCTCAAAAACCCCACCTTCACAAGTTGGAACCCACTAGTAGGATCCTACACGTGTTAGCCCCACCTCCTCTCCTCTTAGGAGAAGGCTCACTGCTGGAGAAACAGCATAGAAGAGGCACGTCAATATTGATGGAGAAGACCATTAAAGAAGGAGCTCTTCTTCTCCTTCTTGGTGTCATCATCGAACTGGTCATGGCTGATGAGAGAGAGAGAGCCACTGGCTTTTAATGGGGGAGAGAGAGCAACTAACGGTATTTTGAGAATTTATTAACGGAAAAACTTATGGTTTTAACAGAACAAAGTATAAGGATTCAATAAATAAAAAAAATAAAATTAGAGGGACCTAATTCAAAATCCAATAAAATTATAAGGATTGACAAATCTATTTTTCTAAATGATAACTATTTGTGATAAATGTAAATTTAAATTTATAAGAAATGGTATATAAAAGGATCAGATGGGAACGCTCACTCAAAAAGTTGAATACAATATTGTATTTGTTTCCCATACTAATCCGATCTAGGAATATTCGCCGAAACTTCAGTCCCCACGCCTCTGCTCAGGTCACCAAACCCACATGAAAGTTGCATTCATTAGGGCCCTGTGTTGTACAAGGAAAATAGAGGAGGAGACAAAGAGAGAATTTTAATGAGCTCAACAGAATTAAAAGCTTTTAATTAATTTTTTTCTCTTTTTTCTTACATCTTTTTTTTAATCAAAATTTCAGAGCTCCACTTTTTAACTTTTTAAATTTAACTTATTAAAATTTTTTCGCCCTTTCAGTTTTCTTGTACCAAAATTGTTGGGTATTACACGACTCGACCCACCCTTCGGGGCAGCGACCTGGAAGTTGCATTCACCGAGTCAAGGTCCAGACACTTATCTGCCAACTCTCAGTCCTTAAAATGGAATGCATGGGTTTTACTTTGTTTTGATTGGATGAAAGTGTTGTTTTTTTTTTCCTTTCCTTTCTTCTCCTCCGGGCCGAAAAGTGGCAAGAGGAAGAATGAAAGGTTGACTTTTTTCGTCAAGTGAAAATTACTCGGCTAATTAGTGACCATTGGATCACAATCTTTAAGTCTTGACCAACGAAATCCTTGTCCTTAGTTTCTATTGGCTAAGAGTGTGCTTCTTGGCCATGATTTACCCGCCATTCTCCCTTTAATATTGGCTTCATATTATTTTGAACACGTTCTGGGGTCTTACTCGATGCACAAGAAAAATCTATTAGTCCCTCCGTTTGCAACCTTTCACTAAACCACATGAATAAAAAAAAAATTACAAATAAAGACCCCCTAATATGTAAAATTATTATTTGAGATCTTGAATTTGGAAAATAGCAAATAAAGACCGCCGGTCTCACTTTTGCAATATGAAATGTGGGTGAAATGTCTAAAATATCCCTCAGCCAAATTGTGATTTGGTCTACTGAAATTGTCATTTGTTAAAGTGAACTTGTTATTTCCCATAGTCAACTCGTTATTTGGCATACCCTCAGTCAAGTTGTGATTTGGCCGACTGAAATTGTCATTCGCTAAATTAAACTTGTCATTTTCTATAGTCAACTTGTCATTTGAATAAGGGGTATTTCAGGCATTTCATCATGATTTCATATTTGTAAAAGTGGGACCGGATCCTTATTTACTATTTTTCAAATTCAAAGTCCCAAATCACAATGTTACATGTTGGGAGGTATTTATTTACAATTTTTCCTAAATAAAAAAGTATGTTAAAATTAGTTAAAAATAATAAATATGTAAAAATTAAAAAAAAATTTCCTATTAAAAAACATTATTTACAAGGGAGAGAGCATAAAAAATAGAATAAAAAATTATTATAATAAAAAGAATTATAAAAGAGAGAATGTGTGATGGAGAGAGATTTTATTAAAATATAATCTTCAAAATATTTATTATCCAGAAAATATATTTCAACAAATAAAAATAAATGTACGGAAAAATAAGAAATTTGTTGCAAAAAAATTAAAATAATTTGCAAATATTACATATATTTAAGAACAAAGAATGAATGGTGGTTGCTGCTTATATAAAAGGATGGAAGGATTACAACATCCAGCCTTTATTGAAAAATGAGGATTAAACGCGCGATTAAAGTCGGATTGAGGATTAAACACGCAATTAAGGTTGGATCGGGGGCAAATAAAAATATAAAATACTACCTCCGATTTTTAATATAAAATCTAGTTAATTTATTTGAGGAGATTATGAAAGTTAATAAATTATCTTAAAGTATTTATATGTATTGTTTTTCCAAACTAGTTTGTCACTCTTGTAAATTGATATATAATTTAATGATACACGTAAGTATTTTGAAGATATAATGTACTATATATTATAATTAAGTAATTCTTTAATTTTCTCAAATTGATCAAGTAACAAACCTGTATGCTATTGGATTACATCCTTCTCGAGTTAGGGCAAAGCGTGATTTTCAAAAATTGCAAGGAAGGGTAATTTTAAAAAATATGCATAACATTTTAGAAAAATCCCCGCAGACGAAGAAAAACAGAGACTAATGACTAGTACCAAATAAGTGAGAAAAATTACGTTAAAATTTTTTTGAATAATTATTAGAATTTTGGTTATTTAAAGAATAGTTAGTCAAACTC